ACATCTTCATAAATAGGTAAATTGTTCCATGCTACTATTGTCCTTGGATAAAAGGAAAACTTATAGACATCATTTGATACACGGATTTGTTGGAAAGGATGACTGTTCGGTAATCTGGTGGCCCTTGTTATTTCGTGAGCATCAATGCAATGTCAAGTAAACTAAATCAGAGGAATCTGATCCCGCCGAAATCACCGGGTCTTACTACCGCATTTTTATTTTCAGATGGTGTAGAGTTCTGAGAGAAAGGAGAAAACATGAAAGTAGAGGCGAAAAACTGTCTCCCTAACTGTTGACAGCTGAAGCCTGCCTCTTTCATCTCCCACTCCATTGACCGTCGTCCGCTGTTCCTTAGCCTCCTTCTTTTCCGCGTCCCCTGTGGGTTCCATATCAAGGCTTGCCTAGTGGTGTTGGTATTTGGTTTGTGCAGAGTGCACCCAGCTATCCCCAGCGGCTTCCCTTGCTCTGCAATTCAATTTTCTCTTGTTCTGTTGTTTGGCATAGGTCTTCGCTTGAGATGATACCTAGCCAATAAACTTGTAGACGTTTTTGGAGACACTTGTTACGAAAGTCTGGATTTTTTTTCGAAGTGGGCGTTCCTCTGGTTTCAGAGCCATATAAGAGTACTGATTTGACATTTGTGTTGAAGATGTGAAGTTTATTCTTTCTGTCTATCAGTTTTGACCTCCAGACTGAACTCAGTGAGATGAAAGCCGCCCTTGCCTTCCCTATTCTTGCTGCAATACTTCTGTCTGAACCACCATCCTTGCTCATCATACTTCCGAGGTAGGTGAACTTCTGAACTTCGTTAATTAATGGAATACCATTCAGGTTCACACTTACTCAGTAGTTCGCATCTGTTGTTTACTCTCATCACCTCCGATCCGTCTTATTTCTGTTGATGCTCAGAAACTCAAAAACTGAGACCAAAGTTGACCATCCCCCACCGCGAATCTAAAAAACTAAGACCTAAGACCCCTTTCGAATCTCAAAAACTGAGACCAAAGACCACCCTCCACCCCGAATCTGACAAAACTAAGACCTAAGACCTCCTCCAATTTCCAAAAACTGAGACCTGAGTTTTCTTCAATTTGAAACTTAAATCAACAACCGGTGATATTTTTGCAGCCTAAATCGTGCGCTCCTGAAGAACCGACTGATTCCTGTTCCATAGATGAATCTTTGATATTTCTTGTTCGTACGTGCGGCACTTAGATCTTCAGTAGATCTTAGGTCTTCGGTTTCTGAGACACCCTAAAATAAAACGCCAAATATCAAAAGTTTCCTGAAGGGTCTTAAAGAATCGAAATGCTAACCTTTAGGGTTAACAGAAGAATTCTGGTGGTCAGTGATTTTGCCATGCACTAATGTTTTATTTTTAAATAGAGAGATTCTCCGTCTTTAATTTGATATTTGCCCGTAATATCCATTCTTCAGACAGCGCAAATCTTGGGCTGATTTATCATAATGTGAAGCTACGTTATAAATACCTTTCTTTTTGTTTCTAATTAGAATCAAAGCTGGTGTTTAGTTTAGATGGATTTTGTTCTCACACCACGAGACGTGTTTTCCATAATCAGTTGCTGATGAGAATTTCGTACTAATTGACCAGCTAAACTTTGCTTACAAAGGACCTTAAGTATGCTCTCTGCTTGTTTACGATTATTGCAACTCAACCACAATTTAAGACTCTGTAAGGTGCTTATTATAATTGCCAACTTCTTTCATAATGACTGAAGCATAGCAATGAATGATTTATAATTCTAGATTTTAATGAAATACAAAACAAAATAAGTCATTTAATTTACGGTACTCCAGTTTTTTCTTCATTAGGGAAATAGCAGCTGCAAGGTTTCTTACCATGGCTGTGGCAGGGATTTTTACGTTTTTTTCGCTGCTTCTGCTAATGATATTTTTTGACACAGCTGCTAGGTGAGTTACTACTCATATTTGTCAAAAGACTTTTGAACTTTTGCTTTTATGTGCTTGAAATCACAGATGGTTTGGGTTCAAATTTAAATGAAAGCGCGTCACATTATTATTTCTCATTAAATTGGGATTTTGCATAGAAAAACTCATTTGGAGAAATTTTACCAGCTTCTTGAGATAACTAAGCGGTATGATCAGAAGGTCTCGAGTTATAATTAATCGAAGACTCCATGAGTCTCTCTACATACCCATAATTCGAGACATGCACTGTGAATACCAGAAGATGATATGTTATTTGGGAAGATGTGGAAACTCTCTCCGTAACCAATTGCAAGGGCAAATCGACTGTTGATACGTCATCAAGTCAGTTGTAAGTGCTAACCATTTTGCCAACACGTCTTCGTTTTGTAAGCCAGCAAACACTAAAAGAGACAATTTATTTTTGTTCTTTGATCTTATAGCAAGCATCATCAGTCAAACTTGACAATGACGGAAAGATTGGATTCCCTGTTTACAAAGCCACGTTATGATCCCAGACTACGGCCTTTCTTTAATGGTGAGCCTTTAGTCCCTGGTCTCAATTCCTTGGTTTTTTTTTTTGGCCGTCACAAGTGATGAATGACTGCCTCTAAATTGTATTACAAGTTCCTACAGAGTGTATGGTGGTAAATCGAAAATTACGTCATCACGCATGTAAAGTTAAACCTCGCTATTTCGAACTCCCGAGAGAAACCAAGAATAGTTCGAAATAGCAAGAACTCGAACTAGCCGATAGTAAATGAGTGAGGAGTTAATTCCCGGGGTTAATCCAAGGAAAATTGTTTTGCGTTTTAGACGGGGAATTCGAAAAACCAAGTTCGGGTCCAGCTTTAGTTGTTAGTTACCAGTCAGCCAAACAAATACCTGGTGCCTCGGTCCATAAAGAAAATTATCCCTCATTTTACTATGAAAGGAGAATAAGCACTTAATGACTGACTCCAAGGGAAACAGTGAGTTTTGTTTCCCCGAGACGGCCCTCAATGTCCCTCGAGGCCAGGCAAAAAAAATAGAACAACTTAAAAATAGAACAAACTGAGAAAAATTATTTGCCTGACGACGGCTGGCACAGGAATTCGCCGCAGTTTCAAGGTGTACGAACTGATCACGGGCGAGTCGAAAGTTCAAGTTGTTGTTTCCCTAGGGAGTTAGTGCGTTTCGACCCATGACAGGTGACACGTTCTCCTCCAATCGGAAAACGCATTTAAGTTGAGAGGTATAACAAATTTAATCATTTGTTCGCAGTAAAGCCAGTGACGATCACGGTAGGAATATGGATAGTAGCAATGGATGCAATTAATGTGATGGATATGGTAAGACGGATAAAGGCAATTCCTTAAATTCATGCTTTATTTCATCTTGTTGTTATTATTGTTGTTATTGTGGTTGTTATTGGTGTTGTTGTCGTTGTTAGTGATGTCCAGTTATTGTGCTGGTGATGGTGTTGATATGTTTGGCTGTAGTAGTAGCTAGTTGTTGTGGTTACTCTGTTGATAGTGGTGTCATTGTTTCGCTATAGTGGTGGTAAAGTGGTACACTGTCGTAATAAAACCGGCTAAGATTTTTTTTATTTGAGTAATAAAGTGTGTGTTGCTGTTGTTTTAGTTTTTCAAGCCGTAACACACCTGCAAGCAGCTTCCTGTATGGCTGACAAGTTTCCGTAATATGAGAGTGCACGTTTTAGTTAAATAGTTCACATGTTGAAGATCCCCTGGCATTCTGGACGATACGCTTTTTATTCGTTCATTATTTGAGGTCCTATATGACAATAAACATTCAATGTCAGAAGGTTTAAAATACTTCTCAGGACATCCTTACTGCATCAGGAACCTAACATGTCTTTCCCAGGCCACAGAGACACCGAAGCGATACCTATCTAATGGCTTCGAAATGTCTCAGATGCTTAGAAACATCCGAACCTGCTCTTAGGCTAGAGGCATAACACTGACCAAAAGCTTGTGTGTTTTACCAGGAGTACGGGTTAGACATTTTCCTTCGCCAGAGTTGGACGGACCCGAGGCTTGACCATGGTCTGCGCGGTACCCTGTCTCTTAGCAACACTATCGTCTCCCAGATATGGTTACCTGACAGTTACTTCAAAAACGCCAAGGACGCAAGCTTCCATGACGTCACCACACCGAACATGATGATCACCATTGGCCCAGGTGGTCTGGTAAACTACAATGCCAGGTGAGTCCCATTCAGTCTTATTAGGTCGTATTATAAGCTCTGGTGTTATGAGCCCCTTGACCCAACTTAGACTAAACATTTTTTCCTTTGCATAGCGGGAGAAAGAGGTAGTTTTGTGAATGCGATAATATCTGCATTTTAAACTTCATGGACCCTCTTTTACTCACTCGTGACTTCTTCCCTTTTATTTTTCTACTGGCCGTCTCCATTTCTAACGTTACCTGCAATTTCAGATGGATGTCTGTATCTAGGTCCCTCTGATTCAAAATCAGTGGAACATCCACGAATTCCTTTTATAAAGCAATAAATTAGACATACACATAGTTTACTTTACTTCGTCTCACACCGGCTTAGCTATGGTAAAGGAACGTCCCACAGACTTGATAAGCAGAGTCTACAAGACGAACCAACTAGTTTACAAGCGCGCCAAGAAAACAAAATAACAAAGTAAAAATGTAAATTTGGGAATAAATATTTAACTTAAGTAACTGTTGAAAACAAAAGATATGACAGGCCTACACGGACTCCCCTCGTGAATTGCAATAGCGATGCATTTTAGCCTTCAATTAAATTTTCGCTCTAACGAGCGTATCTTTTAGAGATTTGCCTCTCTTATGTGATATAATCGGAGATTTAGTATACATGCTTTTCCATAAGCATCACTTTGTTTGTCCTCCGCCATGTGTTCTTCGGTGTCCGTTGGAGGACAGTAAGAGGGTGTTTTTGGGGCTGTGTAATCGACATCCCCGTCACCAGTTGTACTTGGTCCGAGATATAGCAGTAATTCGTTGTCTGACATCTTAGTTGCTTCAGCAGGACCGCTCGGTCTCGATTCTTCACGAATCTCTTCAGCTGCTGTTTGAGGCGTGACAACTTTAAATTCAGTGTTACTCAGGGAAAGGTAGAGAAGTTTCTCAATTCCGTTCCCGCTCGAATAGTTGTTTGGTGATCTTTTTATACCAGGAGAGTCTGTGGTTAGGATCGAAGTTGTAACTTAAAGACATATTGCAGCAGCTATGTCGAACGAGTGAAGGGAGACCAGTTTCTGTTATTTATTTATTTATTTATTTTTTTTCAGGGTGACTTTAAAAGCTTCTTGTCCAATGGATCTACGACTTTATCCTATGGATGTTCAACATTGCCCTTTGATCATTGAAAGCTGTAAGACAAATTTACAAAATACTATTCGGAATGTCTGCTTATTTTCATGCAACACGTGTATCTCGACACCTTTTAAGTTCTAACTTTAATTCAGATTTGAAGAAGTCAGATATTGTGTTTAACGAAAGTACAACCTTAGCAAGCTTTACAAAATTTGTAACGTTGTAACACTTTTGATTTGACAATTCTAAAACTTGCTGAAAGGATTCTACCGGCTTGTATTTACCTTTATGTTTCGTTTGTATACTCCACACTGGGCTAAACACACCTTGACATTTGTCTTCATTATTGGAAAATCTAATTCGAAGGATTTAAGAGTCCGCTCTCCTCCGGCAAAAATATTAAATAGCTAAAACTCAGTTGCTAAGGCATCCTATCATAAAGACATTAGCCAACTTGTCTTCGTATCCGATTCCTTCAGTGTTTCAAATGACCACACTACACATACAGAGTCGTTTTTAATGTGTTTACAGATGGTTATGATATAAACAACATTGCTTACAAGTGGGAGATGTCCAGTGATGATGGCATGTCGTTTGTACCCAGCGATATGAAAATGCTTCCACAGTTCAAACTCACCAAGCTGCAGTTATCAACACTATGTACCTCATATGTCGTTGGTTAGTATGAAGTTCATTTTCCTGAAGATTAATTACAAAGGAAACAGAAGGAAGAATTTTACTCATTTAATTATTTATTTGTTTATTTGTTTATTCATTCATTCATTTGTTTGTTTGTTTATTTATTCATTTATTTATTTATTTATCCCGGTTATTATCTAGAGGCTATAGGCGAAGTGTGTCCGCTTAGTGTGTTTTATTGAAAATCCGTGAATCTTGGCATAGTTAGTTTTGGACGGCAATCCTTTAGGTAGATAGAGCGCCTCATACAACAATTAACAACCGAATTGACTACCGTTTATAACAAAACGAGGGCGACTAGTTTAACCCTCAATGAAAATTAAGGTAATGTGCTCGAAATACTGGCTTAACAACGCGTCTGGGAAGACTTAAAGAGCCGGGTTTGGAAGGAAATTTCGTTGTCCGAACAAAACAAAGTAAAAACGATTTTATTTGCTATCCGAAAATATAAATTAGTCGTTCGAGTTGTTACCTGTTACTCTAAAAATCATCCCTTGTCACATCTTATGGCAACAATGTTAGGTAAGGTAACAACTAAGGTACTAGCTAACAGCTAAGCATTAATGTAACATTGTGCCGTTATTTGATAACTTCCTTTCGAAACACTGACTAACTGAGTAGATAACGGTTAGAAGAGTCTCGCCTGTAGTCTGACCACAGTTGTTGTTGTTTTTTTTCTGTAAACACTACTGATTTACAATCAAGCAATTCTTCTTTAACAACTCAGCCACTAACAACTAAGTGTTGATTTTGTTTGGCAGGTAACTGGTCTGGAGTGAAAGCATTGTTTACGTTACAGCGCTTGTACAGTTTTCAAGTGATTCATCTTTACGGCCCCAGTGCACTCATCGTCACATTATCCTGGCTTACCTTCCTCTTACCTCGCTCTCAGTCCCCTGCTCGCGTCACACTGGGAGTGACGTCAGTTCTCACCATAGTTACCATTCTGACTATGTCAAATAACGCTATGCCCAAGGTATGAAGCCTGATCAATAAAAACAAAAGAAAATGAAAGAAGCGACGAACACTTGGCGATATACACATATTGTTCTTAGCTGACGACCAAAAGGCTCGGGCGCAGATCCTTCCTTTTCTGGGGAGTGGAGGGGGGGAGGCGGGGGGGGGGG